TGCAGTTGAGTGATGGGTGGAAGATCTGGAGGTGCTTTTATTCTGACCTTTCATTTAGGAGAGAATTCCCCTTCTTCAGCATTAATATCTGCTGTGTTTGAAAAGCGGAATGCTGCAGTGTCTCAGGAAGAGGCAGGCAGCTGTGAGATCCTCAGTTCATTACCCCTACCCAAAAGCTATTGTTTCTAATTGCAGAAGCATACTTGTGCCAGGCAACAATTGTTCCTTAGTCTCGTGTGACCACATCTCTTTAGTCTGCTGGAAGGATACTGTCAGTGCTGTTCAGGTCTTCCACTGCAGGCTGCTGAGGTGCTGCAGCACGTAGCTCTGGGAGAATAAATATTTGCTCTGTCCTGCCTGCCCTGGCTATCTTCAGCATAGCAGAGTTTGCTGCAGCATTAGATGTTCTGCATAGTGACAGCAAAGACGGTTTCTGCTGTTGAGACCTTCAGGTTGTCAGTTTTTGAAACTGTTTCAGGAGAACTTATTACTGAAGTTATGAATGTGGATAAAGGTCTTTACGTAGAGCTTCAGCTTTGTGAGCAAAAAGCAGCATTTAGAGTCAGTAGTCAACACTGACTTTCTTGTCTGGCTTGTATTAAAGTCCGTCTCACTGTGCTCATTGCTGCAAAGGTTTGGCTAGAGCCAGCCACCCTGACCAATGTCTGATGATCTTGTTTGCAGTGATGAGCCAGTGGCAGATATTGAAGGACACAGCATGAGAGTGGCACGTGTGATGTGGCACCCCTCTGGGAGGTTCCTGGGCACTACTTGGTAAGGGGATTCTGTTGATGCTTTTGTTTAAGATGCTATTAGCTGCAGTCACTGGGATTCATGAAAGGCTTCCTTTCTCTGCACCTCACATGAGAGCCAGTTGCAAGCAGTGTATGCTGAGGTAATAAAATATTTGGTTTTCTCCTTGGAGATTTCCAACTGCCAGAGGAGCAGCCCAATGGCTGCTGCTGCCTCCTGAGTGAGCGTGGGATGGGAGGTGGCTGAAGACGGTGGTGCTGAAGGAGAGGGGGACTGGACTGGAGCTGAATGGTACAAAGGTGATCTGAAAATCCAGTTCCAGAAGCCGAAATGTTTGCTGCTGCTAAGAGGATTTCAGTGAAATACCCACACTCTGGCAGTGAGGATGGTGATCTTTGTAAGCGAGGCTGTTCCACCTTATTCTCTCTTCCTTCAGTTTTGAAATTATACAAAGTGAACCAAACATTCTCTGCTCATGTATGAAATCATCCTGTGGCAGTTAGTGATAACTGTTTCTTCCCTTTTCCTTTTGTGTGGCTCTCTCAGGCCATCTGTGCTCCACGCTAGCAGCTGAAAAGGGAACAGCACTTGAACAGGGCATGTGTGTTTTTTGTATGGTGCATCTCTTCACCTGCCCACGGATGCACTGTGTGATCCCTTCAGGGTTTAAGGATGCCACGCTGATGTGGAAGTAGGGAAGCTCCCTGCTCTCCCAGGGGTGTGCTGAGGATCTCTGAGTTTTTGAGGTTTACAGTCTCATTCCTGTCTGTGTTTTCCTAATGCTCAAAGAAACAGGCAGAGTGGATGTCCTGGCAGCTGGTGTGTGTGTGCCCAGTTCAGATAGGATTATATGATCAGATTTTAATGCTTTTTTTCTTTTAATTTAAGTTACGATCACTCGTGGCGCTTGTGGGACTTGGAAGCCCAGGAAGAGATCCTTCATCAGGAGGGGCACAGCAAAGGGGTCTATGACATTGCCTTTCACACAGATGGGTCTCTTGCTGGGACTGGGTGAGTTTGTTTCACTGTATGTGAAACATTACCAAGGTTTTGTTGCTCACTGACTCCAAAAGCTGCAGTACTGGCGCTCTGTCAGCTGCTGAAGTCTGGAGGTGATGGAGTTTGGGTTCTCTCTTAGTGGACTGGATGCTTTTGGCCGAGTGTGGGATTTGCGCACCGGGCGTTGTATCATGTTTCTGGAAGGCCACCTGAAGGAGATCTATGGACTTAACTTCTCCCCAAATGGGTAAGACAGGAGCTTGCATGCCTTGTGTGGGAGATCTGAGTACGAAGCTCAGCTTTCAATGCATTCTTGACTCCTGGCAGATACCACATTGCAACTGGCAGTGGTGACAATACTTGCAAGGTATGGGACCTCCGTCAGAGGAAGTGCATCTACACCATTCCTGCCCATCAGAACCTGGTGACTGGGGTGAAATTTGAACGTAAGTACCTGCTGTCTGATGTTCCTTATTCCTGCCTTTCCTCTGCTGAGGTGGCAGGGAATGTGGCAACTCAAAAACGCATCCTCAGATCAGGAAGATCTGCACTGGGTAGCGGTAGAAGATTTGTCACGTGTTTATTTGCAAAACTCATTTCTCCCTTTTTTTCCTCAACTGCAGCCAATCATGGTAACTTCCTGTTGACGGGCGCTTACGACAACACCGCAAAGATCTGGACTCACCCTGGCTGGTCCCCTCTGAAAACACTGGCTGGTCATGAGGGAAAGGTGATGGGACTGGATATCTCCCTCGATGGGCAGCTGATAGCAACGTGCTCCTATGACAGAACCTTCAAGTTGTGGACAGCAGAGTAGCTCAAAGGCACTGCTGATGAACTGGGACAGCAATGTTAATAATGCCTTTGAACTAAGACCTGGGTTTTTATATATTAAATTTTTAAAAAAGGAAAGGAATCGGCTGTTGCAACATGTGTCACAGTGGCTGTGGTCACTAGCTGGTCTTGGTTTCCTGGTTGAGGCAGTTTTGAAGCATCTGTGCTGACCAGGGCTTGTTTGGAGTCAAAGCTGGGATGATGTTCTTCCACTTTTTAGGACTTTTGCTTTATATTGCAGATAGTGGTTATCTGCAGTAATTTGGAGATGAACTACCTTCTTCCACCTTCCTTCTAGGACAGGCTCACAGGTTTGCTCCAGTCTGTCTTACATTTCTGTAGGTAGCCACACAGCACTTCATGTATGGTCTGTTGTATGTTCTGTGTTTTCTTACCTTCTCTTTTCCAAGATGCTTTAACAGCAGTCTGTGTCTTCAAAAAATAAAGCAGAGTTAGCTGTTAGAGGAGAGCGTACCACAGTTCCTCTGCCTCTGCAGGTTGGTCTCTGAACATAGATGCCTGTATCTCCTTTGTTTCCACTTGCAGTGGGTGTTGTAATGCCAAGAAATTTTCAGTGCACATCTCGTGTCTGAGCTCCTTGAGCTGTTTTACAGATTGGGTGTTTCACATCTCCTGTTGAAGGTTTTGATGTGTCTCACCTGAGATGATGCAAAGAAGGCTGCTTCATTGTGGGTTGTCTCATTCTAACTTCCACTGTGAGGAAATTTCTTATTTGTTGTTTATTCTTTAAACTGAAGTTCAGATGTGTTCTAGAAAATCAGAAGATGGCTTGAACATGTGCACTTGCTTCTGGGTCTGACTAAGAAGTGGAAGAATTACAGCGGTGTTGTGATTCATGATTTGATTTCAGTCTATCTTAAAATATTTCCAGGAGAAAAAACAGAATCACAGAATCACAGAATGGCCAGGGTTGGAAGGGCCCTCAAGGATCATGAATCTCCGACCCCCTGCTACAGGCAGGGCCACCAACCTCCACATTTCAGAGCAGCCCAGGCTGCCCAGGGCCCCATCCAACCTGGCCTTGAACACCTCCAGGGATGGACGGGGCATCACAGCCTCTCTGGGCAGCTGTTCCAGCACCTCACCACTCTCTGGGTAAAGAGTTTCCCCCTGATGTCCGACCTCAATCACCCCTCCCTCAACATAAAACCATTTCCCCTCGTCCTAAAAAAAAAACGGTCATCTCTTCTTTGTCACCTGGAGAGCAGCTGTCCATTGTCCCTGGGAAACAGACACAGTGCTGTTCTCAACATTTGCAGTGGGGGACATCAAAAAACCACGTATGAGTTACTTCCTTTCTTCTAACAGTGGGCTGTGTGCTCTCTGCTCCCTTAGAAGTATGGTGGCATCTGCCAAGTGCTGCATATTCTGTCTTATTTACTCCCAGGAAAAATGTTAACAGACTCGAGGCCAGGAAATAGCACAAAAGCCATATTTAATTGCTGTCTTCTCTTGTATAAGCCTAAACATCCAGCTATGTGTGCTCATGCCCCTTCTCAGGTATCATTTGAAAAGCTCATATGCTGCTAGCTGCACAGACAGGGATCTCCCTGCCCATAAGGGACAAACTCAGCAGGCTGCCCATGGGACAATCCTTACCCAGTGCTTGTCCTGCTCCCGCCTGGCACAGCAGCATACTTCTAGCTGGCTTAGGATGAAATGTTAGACACCAGTGAACTGCATTTATACTCGCTCAGCCCCATGCAGCAGGATGAAAAACTGGAGCAAGGAGAGGAGGCTGAGCATTCCCTGCCTGATGCCCAGGCATGCTGCAGAGCTGCCGCTTGGGACCACACGGGCCAGACATGAGCCACCTGCTGCAGAACTGGGAGCCAGTTGTGTCACAGCAGGTAAAATACACACTGTTCATTCCCTGGAGTCCTCTGGAGGCACTGTGCTGTGAGCTGACCTAGCAGTGCTGATTTAAATCTGATCCAGGGAGAGACATTGATCCCTGGTTTCCTCTCACAGCAGTGAAGTCACAGCTTGGTTGTTCCTTCTTTTCACAGTAAAAGCTGTTTTCTTGGTGCAGGAGGAGTGCTCTGATCAGACTCAGACCTGAGAAACAGCACAGAGAAGGCACGTGCTTTGTCATAGCTCATTTCTCCTCCGTTGGCTCCCTTTACAGCCAGGTTGTGTGGAGGTTTTGTGACTAAAGCCCACAATGCTCTTATCAGCAGTGAGAATTTGGCCTGAAAGCATCACTGATTCAGCTCTTCTTCTAGCCAGCTCTAATGGCTTCCCATCGCCCACAAGCAAACAACAGGCAATACATCCCCTGTGCACCGTAGCTCAGCTGTCACTGCTCTGCAGGCACGAGGTCACCTGGTGCCTGCTGTCAGTGGAAGAATTGGAGGATCAGATCCCCACAGACAATCTCTGCTGGGAAGGATCTGTGGTCAAAATACTGCCACCTTCTCCAGCTCCAGCTCCTCACGGTGCCTCAGCTGCAGCACGTGGATCCCTGAGCGAAAGCTGGCGCAGAGCAGCGTGGAGCTGTCGCAGGCAGCCAGTGAGACCAGCGGTCCAGCTCCCTCGAGGCATGCAGTGGCAAGGCAGGCTGAGGAGGAAAGAGAAAAAGTCACTCTGACACCAGGTGAGGGGAAAGGTGAGCGAAAGAAGAAAGGTTTTAACATGGGGATTGATCACATTTCTGTTTTTTATCCTGTCTTGAATTAGTGGGGAGGTGCGTAGCCATACCAGTGAGTTTTGCTGGGCTCAGTGCAGAGCGTATCTGTGACCCTTCTCCGGAGGCACTGTCTGCCTCTGAGCACTGAGATAACAAACCTGTGCTGCAGTGGGGCCTGGCAGGCAAGCAGCTTTGTGTCTGGCTCTGGTGAGGACCCAGCCCTCAGCCAACCCTCCGGCATGCAGAGATTCCCATTCAGGATGGTGGTCGCAGCTGCCCCCTCCACACTCCAGTGCAGCCTGTGTTCCTTACGACTTTCCCGTCCTAAGGAAAGCACTGGAGTTCCCCTGTTCTTTTTGATTTTCACTGTTTGTCTTTCACTGCTGAACTTGGACATCCCATCATTGCTTCCTGTTAGTTCAAGGAAGATGCCCATCACCTCAAGGCTCGTGCACCCAGACATCCTTCTTTGCCAGAGGATGGACACAAACTACTCTGGTGCTCATCTCCACCCAGCCCTACAGCTGCGTGAAAACGCAGGGCTGGCAGGCACACCGCTGTGCGCTCATCACCCCAGGGAAACAGCAGCCAGGTCTGTTATCCCAGGGCAGTGCCCTGCCTACCTGCAGTGTCCCGGTCCCAGATCTTCACTTTGCTGTCGTATGAAGATGTGGCAATGCTGGGGGTGAGAGCAGGACCCCGTGGGAGGAACACACATGAGGCTGTGGTTTGCAGATGCCCTCTGTACTCACACACTCGGCTCCTGGTCTGCCGTAGGTCCCACAGCTGCAAGGAAACGAACAGTGCTCAGAGCTCAGGCCGTCACTGCCACCTGCCAGCACAGAGAGGTTTTACAGAGAGAGGAAGGTGGGTTTGGTTAAAGAGCTCCTCGCTCGTCCTCATAGCACATCTCTGCCTTTATCCCTGCCACTGAGCACATCTCACAACACTTCAAGACTCCAAAAAGGTTTTCACCATTAATCCAAATGTGCATCTGCAAACAGAATCCCAGCACTTTAATAAGGAAGGATATTTGCTGCTGCAGTAGACTGACAAAGGGATAGACAGGGGGGAAACTGAGCACCAGCCCAACCCGTGACTCCAGGTAAGGCCAAAGCAGTGGGAGCTGTGCTATGCTGCAGGCAGAGCCCTGGAGGACTGAGCTGCTGCCCTGTGCTGTGTGCTGTGGAGATGAAGAGAAGCAGGAGTTGGACTGGGTGCCCTACAGACTCACTGTTGCTTCGCAGCCCTCCCCAGAAAATCCGCTGCTGCTGCTGACACAGTATCGCCCATCCTGGCTCACATCACAGCTTGTCTGGATGTGCTGCTTGCCTGGGAATGTGTGTGCCACCTGCAGCTCCCGGCTGTCCCACATCCTGGAAGCAGAAAAAGTGGGGATGGGGACATGGAGCCATTACTGTGCTACAGGAGCCGTTGGTGCCCTCCCTGCAGCCCCACTGTGCTCCTGCGCTTTGCCACCACGGAGCAGCCTCTCTCCTTTCTACAAGCCTTTATCCAGGGCAGCTGTGTGGAGCTCAGAATTTTCTCTTTTGTGCCCATAGGCGGTGCCCAGTGCTGCTTGCAGCTGCAGATGCCCCCATGCTGTCCTCCCCCAGCAGGAGACCCAGGTGAGCCAGGAATGGCTTCCAGCCACACATGAGGCTGGCAGATGGGGGAGAGCAGGAAGACAGGAAAAACAACCACCCCAACAGCCCCCTGTGCACTGACACTGCTTTACCCATCAGCATGTGGCCCTGGCTGCAGCTCCCACAGTATCACAGAATGGCCAGGGTTGGAAGGGACCTCAATGATCACAAAGCTCCAACCCCCTGCCACAGGCAGGGCCACCAACCTCCAATTTCACAGCCCAGACTGCTCAGGGCCCCATCCAACCTGGCCTTGAACACCTCCAGGGATGGATGGGGCAGCTGTTCCAGCACCTCACCACTCTCTCTGTCAAGAACTTCCCCTGACATCCAACCTCAATCTTCCCTCCCTCAACTTCAAACCATTTCCCCTTGTCCTGCTGTTATCTACCCTTGTCCTTATTTGTATCTACCAAACAAGATTCCCCTCTTGTTTGTAGGCTCCCTTTAGGTAATGAAAGGCTGCAATGAGGTCACCCCACAGCCTTCTCTTCTCCAAGCTGAACGAGCCCACCTCCCTCAGCCTGTCTTTGTAGGGGAGCTGCTCCAGCTCCCTGATCATCTTTGTGGCCCCCTCTGTGGCTGCCTGGAAGGATTTACCTGATGGTTTTATCCTCTGATGTCTGGATGACGTAGGGCTCCCCAGGGACCCAGCACAGATGTGTTACCTGTAGAGGGGAAGGGAAAGGTGGTGGTGATGCTAAGATTTGGGCTTAGCAGGCAGGGAGGAACCAGCAGCTCAGCAGGACATGGTGCCATGGAAACAGAGGTACCCCAGGCACCGCTTTCTCCACTGCTTAGCAAAAGGTTATTAATAAATTGCTGTACATCTGTGGGTGCCTTTGTGCTCCTGGAGGTGCTGTTCTGGAGGAGAGGAAAACCAGCCTTAAGCTGATCTCCAGAAGCATCAGTCCATCTTCACAGTGTCTCAGGGGTTTAGTGTAGTGCCGAACTTGAGGCAAATTCACTCTCTGGGGCTCTGCATGCAAGGGACCAGAGCTGCCATTCTGGGACGCAAAGAACCAGAGGCTCCTACCAGGTTCCTGGAGAGAGCAGCTCTGCACAGACACTCTCCGGTCTCCACATCCCATTTGCGAATGGTGTTGTCTCGTGAACCTGTGCACAGCCGCGACGCATCTGCAAGAGCAAGTCAGCATGCAAACACGGCCGTGCTACAGCAGGAAGAACCACTTGGGCAGTGTGCTGCTCCTCACCCGGGCTCACAGCCAGCCCAGTAACAACCAGCTCATGGCCTGGGAAGAACTGCCTTGGCCCTGAGGTCCCGTGGAGCTCCCACATCATTACTGTTCTGTCCCGGGATGCACTGAAGGCTCTGTTGGAATCATGGGTGCAGGTGACCTGCAGAGGAACAGACGGAGAAATGGGTTGGGCTCTGGCCTGGCCATGTGCTGGGAAAGCACAGCTGCTCTGCTTCCTGCCCGTGGCAGCACTGTGACAACAGACACTGCGGACAAGAAGGGATCAGTGCTGAGGTTGGAGGGATCCCCAGCTCAGCTGTGCTGCCCGGAGCCACTCACACCGTGAGGAGTGCCTGCAGCCCTGGGCAGGGCCTGGTGAGCAGCGAAAGGGAAATGTTGGCAGTTCCCATCACTGTCCCTGTGGCACAGCTACAGAGACACAGGGATTAACCTGCTTCACTGGGTGAGCGCAGAGCTGCTGAGCTGAGGCTTGGATGGTGTGAGGTCAGATATTTCCCTGTATGGCAGCACAGCAAGAAATGCTTCTTTTCTTGTACTGGGTCTCACAGGAATAAGCAAAGCACATTGTTGGTGCAAAGACACCTCACTGCAAAGTTTGAAACCCTGCTTTGAAGCCCACGTGACAGAACTTCCTGTAAGGAGACACTGGAATCGACACCATGCTGCACCTCACCCCCATTCCATTCTCAGAAAATCCATTTCATGGGGAAAAGAAAACTTTCTGAGAAACCCAAACGAGCACACTGCACGTCACTGTGAGCACTGGGAGCTATGAAAGGTGAGAAGGAGCACAGGGGACTGCTGGGTGCTGCCAGGGCCCCCAACAGAGCAGAGTGAGCGCCCTGCAGATACCAGACTGCCACTGCTGCTCCCGGTGCACTCCTTGATGCTCACCTTGGTGACCTCGTGCTCATGGCTGATGAAGCGCCCCAGCACAGCTCCGGACCTCCAGTTACAGACAGCCACACTCTGCAGAGAGCCAGGGGAAGGAAGTCAGCGGTGGCAGTGGAACAGGACACAGAGGGCTCACACACAGCCTAGGTTTATGTTACACTGAGCCAAAGAGGGAACAGACTGTTCTGCTTGTGAGCTCCTACAGCAAGCACAGCTGTCTTCGGAGCACATCCCACCCTACCCACATCCTCCTTATTGAGGGTCACAGAGGGACCTGGATAGATTGGATTGATGGGCCAAGGTAAACTCTATGAGTTTCAATAGGGCCGAGTGTCGGGTCCTGCATTTTGGTCACAACAACCCCAGGCAACCCTACAGGTGTGGGGAGGAGTGGCTGGAAAGCTGCCTGATGGAAAGGGACCTTGGTGTACGGAGTTGGCTGAATGTGAGCCAGCAGTGTGCCCAGGTGACCAAGAAGGCTTGCATCAGGAGTGGTGTGGTTGCAGGACCAGGGAAGTCATTCTGCCCCTGTGCTTGGCACTGGTGAGGCCTCACCTGGAGTTCTGTGTCCAGTTTTGGGCACCTCGGTACAGAAAGGACATGGAGGTGCTGGAGCAGGTCTAAAAAAGGGCAATAAGGCTTGTGAAGGACTTGGAGAATATGGCCTACGAGGAGAGACTGAAGGAACTGGACTGTTTAGTCTGGGGAAAAGGAGGCTGAGGGGAGACCTGATTGCTGTCTTCCAATATCTGAAAGTGCTTACAGAGAGAGCGGGGTTGGTTTCTTCTCACTGGTGACAGGACGAGGGGAAATGGCCTCAAGTTGCGCCAGGGTAGGTTTAGGTTGGATATTAGGAAATACTTCTTTACTGAAAGGGGTGTTAAGCACTGGAATGGGCTGCCCAGGGAGGTGGAGTCCCCATCCCTGAATGTGTTTAAAAACCATTTGGATGTGGTGCTCAGGGACACGATTTAGCAGAGGGTTGATAGTTAGGGCAGTACAGTTAGGTCGTGGTTGGACTCAATGATATTTAAGGGCTTTTCCAACCGGAGTGATTCTATGATCCTCTGATTCTATTGTACCTTATCCTTTCCTCCTGACACGCAGAGCTCTGGTCTGACAGCAGCCACGCAGGTGACAGCATCGCTGTGTGCAGGGCTGTGCAGCTCCACCACCGCACCACGTCCTGGCCTTCCCATGGAGCCATCAGCCCTGCAAGCGGCAGAGGGACAGCAGCAGTGTGTTTTTAGGTCAGATGTTAGGACAAATTTCTTATCAGAGAGTGGAGAGGCAGTGGCACAGACTGCCCTGGGGGTGGGGGGCCCCTGGAAGTGTTCAGGAAATGTGGAGGCGTGGCACTGAGGGATGTGGTCGGTGGTGGGAATGGGTTGGGGCTGGGGATCCTTGAGGCCTTTTCCAATCTGAATGATTCCCTGATTAAGGGTAGATCATTTGGCCTCCAGAGCTCTGTGTTAGCAACTTACAGGGAGTGTAAATGGTCACACCGACACGCTCAGCCACTCCTGTGAGTTACATTTTGGATCCCATCCATCCAAAGAAGCCAGGCAGCAGCAAGGCTCAAAAATGAAGATCTGATCCATAAATTCAGTAATGAAACCAAACTCACATGCTTGAAATGTTCCCCACTCACCCAGCCACTTTAGTAACCCAAGATACTACCATCTGAGGATGCTTTACCCGTACGTGGCCGTGTGCAAGCTGATCTTACTCTGCAGTTTTCCCATCCCACCGCTGAACACACAGCATCAGCTGCAGGCAGCAGCACGGAGCATCACAACGCCGGGCTCAGGCTCTCACTGCTGGCTGCGAGGAGATGCAGCACGACCAGAGATCCAGAGAGATTTCTGCTTCTCACACATCCAGGATAAAGCGCTGCTCCCCCTCCTCTGGGGTCACGTGCTGGGGGATGCCCACCCTATGCACGACACCGACACCGAATGGACACCGCCTGCAGGCACAGACACAGGGCAGCCACCAATAAACCCATTTCAATGGCAGCGAATTACCGAGTCCAGTAATTGGATTCCCTGCAGACGAAGATACACCAATTGGATTTAGTCTGCGTTAGGTGTACGTTAGTGCTCCCATCTCCTGGGCAGGTATTCTGCCAACAGAAGGTCAGAAGAAAACCCAACTTCTATTGGTTGAGTTACTTCCTACCGGAAGAAAATGCATGCATTCAGTCTGCCCAGAGACAGGGAAGCTCCATACCAGCAGCACTCAGCAGGGGTCGGTGACATTCCACAGCACATTCCCTTTCTAATTTTACCCTGGCAGCCTCTGTGATTAGCAATTACTAATACCAGCTAATCTCAGCCTTCTCTATCCACAAGCTTGAATGTTCCAAAGGTGCAGAGAACCATCCAGCTCACAGCTCCAGGCAGCGTTACGCTGCTCATTCATTTCCTTCCATCAGAATGAACATCAAAGCACTTTGGGACATTGGGAACAAAGGTGGTTTTTCCGTGACAGCGAGAGAATGCAGGAAATTATTTCTCCTGCAAAATAAAACGGCATGAGCTGCTAAGGCTTAAACTCTGACAAGTTCCGGCCCTTGGTTTCTCCCACAAGCATAGCCATCCATCCTTCCTGCCCCGATGGCTGCAGGGAGAGCAGCGCTGCGCCGGGCAGCGGCCGCGTCCTTCTGCCCTCTGCAAAGAGCGGATCCCTCTGGGTCCCGAAGGAACGATCGGCTCCGTGAACGGGGCTGTACTGCTCGTAGCTTCCCTATGGGTTTGCCACGACCCGAAGCCCCTTCCACAGCACGGAGCCGCACTCGGGGACCCCCCGCCCACCGGGAATCTCCCGTCCTCCCAACGCACCTCTTCACAGAAACCAGAATCATTCTTTTAAAACCAGATTATCATTTTTTAAAGCCGGCCCTTCCGTTGCCCGTGGTGCTGTAGTGGCACCGCAGCGATAACCGCACGACAGAACGAGGGACGGCGGCAACCCGGCGTGCGGGCACCGATTCCCGCACACTCCTTCCCCCATCGCCACGGCGCCGGCGGAGCTCGCGTACGTCCGAAGGATGTCGGCAGACGCAAAGCTTCCCGCAGCCCCACCGCAGCCACACGACCTGACGTCCCCCGGGAAGCACCGCCTCGCACTCACCGCTCCGCGTCCCCGCTCCGTATCCCCGCTCCCTGCGGTTCCATGGAGACGGGCGGGGCGGGGCGGGACGGGGCGGGCAGTGCTGATCTCTCCCGGCCCGGCCCCGTCGCACCACCGCCCCCCGCACCTGCGGCAGGTGCCGCCGCGCACGCAGCATGGCCCGACGGGGCGCGGAGCCGCGGGCGCTGCCCGAGAGGGCGGCTGAGCTGCGGGTGAGCGGGCGGGGGAACGCCGGGGGTCCTCGCCGCGGGAGGGAGGCGAGAGGGGTGCTGCGGGCTGGGCCTGCGCCTGCGCCTGGTCAGGGGTGGGGAGGTCTGCCTTCCTCCCTCCGGCTTGAGATTTCTGCGGGTGGCTGCGGGGGGCCCGGTGGGAGTGAATGGGGCTGTGTGCGTGAGGGCGGGCGGAGGGGTTGCGGCAGGGCTGTCCCGGATCTACCAGCCCCGCCGGTGCCGGGCCTGAGCGCTGCTCCGCTCTCCGCGTTCCAGAACAAACTCGTGGACCGATGCGAGCGGCTGCAGCTGCAGAGCGCTGCTATCGCCAAGCACGTGGACGAGGTGCTGCCCGCCAGGAGCCAGGGTGTGCTGGTAAGTCCTTGCCCTGTCCTGGAGCAAAGCCGGTCCCGGGGCTCCTTGGCGTGCAGGTGTTGGTGTGCTGCCATCCAACAACACGCTGGAATCTCAGAATGGCCAGGGTTGGAAGGGATCTCAAGGATCGTGAATCTCCAACCCCCCGCCACAGGCAGGGCCACCAACCTCCACATTTCAGAGCAGCCCAGGCTGCCCAAGGCCCCATCCAACCTGGCCTTGCACACCTCCAGGGATGGACGGGGCATCACAGCCTCTCTGGGCAGCTGTTCCAGCACCTCACCACTCTCTCTGTCAAGAACTTCCCCCTGACATCCAACCTCAATCTTCCCTCCTTGAACTTAAAACCGTTTCCTCTTGTCCTGCTGTTATCTACCCTTTCCAAGAGTTGAATCCCCTTCTGTTTGTAGGCTCCCTTTAGGTACTGAAAGGCTGCAATGTGGTCACTCCAGCTAGGGCTGGCACCTCATCTTCCCTGCTCTGCTTTGTGCTTTGCTGACCCTGAAGATGAAGGCAGCTATTGTGGTCAGCACTGCTTTTTGCTGATGTTGATTCCTGGCAGTTCAGAGGAGGGCTGGCATTTGGGACCCAGGCAGAGCAGGTGGTTGTTGCTTCCATGCTGCAGTGGTTAGTGGTCATTGTGCAATTAGTTTGTGTGCTGGTTGGGCCAGGAGGCGGCCAGCAGGTTTGGAATTTAACCCATTCACCTCTGTGTGCATCACCATGTGGCTCGGGCTCAGTTAACAGCTGAGCCCCTGGGGGCTGTGGGTGTTCATTTGGGTTGCAGCTGTTTCTCCTCCTTTCCTTGCAGAGCGCTGCTAACAGCGCACGAGAGTTGGTCATCCAGAGGCTGATCTTCGTGGGGAAGGTGTGTGAGAATGAGGAGCAGCGGCTGCTGGAGGAGGTGCACGCCGAGGAGGAGCGGGCGCAGCAGAGCATCCTGACACAGCAGGCGCACTGGACGGAGGCACTGCAGAAGCTGTCTGCCCTCCGCACGTACCTGGTGGACACGATCACCAACCTGGACGACCAGGGCTTGGTGGTGAGTGCCCCTCCCCAAACCAAGGCATGGCCCAGCTGCCCAGAAACAGCCTTGGTTTTTCATTGCGGATGCTCAGACTTAATTATGGTGTTGATTAGTTTGTGCAGTGACAGCAGGCGGCTGGAATTGGGCTTCAGGCAATCCCAACAATCCCCCCAGGTTTCTAGGTGGGTGTGATGCTGCCCACTTGGTGCAGGTCGGACTGGGCTGTCAGCTTTCTGCTGTCCTATTAATAAAAATATGTTCCTTGGGAGCACCTGCAGCTCTTCTTGGAGGTCCATCCTGTTGTGCAGCATATACCTCTGTCTGAGGTATTAGCCATACAAAGCAGTGTCTGCTTCCCTTTGCTCAGCTTCTTTTCCAGCTGCTAAACTGCATTTTACTAATCGGCTTCTCTTGCTTTAGATGCAGGCAGGAAGGCACTGCACCTCCTGCTTGCTCTTAGCTGCTGCTCATCATATCTAACCTGATAGAGAGGCCATAAGGCCCTTTTATTTCTCCTTTTGCCAAGTAAAGGAAGGGGAATAGCATTCATAAATTCTCCACCTTGGGTGCTTGGTGTTGGTATTTATTACAAACTGATATGTGTCATCTCATGGCGAACTGAGAAGCACATAGTGAACCCTGCAGCTCTGAGCTGGGCTCTGAATTTCTGCTACTGCTTTGCTAGCTGATGTCACCAGAGAAGGGCCCAGTGTCAGCAGTTGTAGGGAGGAGTGGAATTGCTCACAGCATTGTCTGTCTTTTGCCTTAGGGTCTGTAACCCTTGCAGCACCTTTACTGAAGGCTTTTAGGATTGTTGGCTGCTAGCACAGGGTGCTCCTGCAGTGCCCAAGAGGTGGGGAGGAGGGAGGGACACAGGACAGAACCTGACAGACAGACAGGGCTGGGGTTTTCTCACCTGGGGCAAGGCAGGATGCAGCAGTAAGAGGCTCCAGGCGCATCCAGCTTGGTGTGTACCAAAGGACAGGGGTCCGATCTGCTGCTTTGTGATTCCCTGCTGTAGGTCTCCCTCGTGTTTCCCTTGCAGCAGGTGAGCCAGCTGTGTTTGCTGTCTCCTGCTCCCCACAGCTTGCAGGTTGTCTGGAGGGCCCCGTGCTGTGCCCCAGAGCTGCTGCCACCTGCCAGTTTGGCAGAGCTGAGCTGTAGGTACAGGGAACATGCAGCATCCTCAGCCATTCCCATTCATTTTCTGAGGCAAGGAGTGAGAAGTGCCGCAGCCAAAGTAAATGGATGTTGGATGCTTGCTGAGGCCGTGGCTGTGGTTGGGGGTGTTTTCTGTGGGTCAGGAAGGAGACTGGTGCTCCCTGGGTCCCTGGTTTGCTGTGCCCCAGCCTGAGTTTGGGATTTTCTCTGTGGGAATTTCAGCTGTGTTGACTTTCTCTCTCTTTGTCCCCAGAATGCGGAACAAGAGATCTTCGAGAGGTCAGTACCTACCTGCTCCTGCATTTCCTCACCCCTTCTCTGAGCCTGCCCAGCACCTCCTGCCTTCCCCCAGTGGGCAGCACTCCACAGCTCTGCTCTTCCCTCCCTTGTTCCCAAGACAAGGACAGAGAACAGAGATTCTCATGTGTCCTCTGGTCTTTGCTTCGAAAGGGCTGGAGGCCAGGCTCTGCAGTGCCCCTCTGCAGGCACCTACAGGTGCTCTGGCACTTGCTGGCAGGAGACTTCCTCCAGCCCCTCAGAAAACAGCACTGCCCTGGAGGCAGGGTCACATCGCCCATCTGAGGAGCTGGCCTGCTGTTCCTGCCTGCAGCTTTCCTGCAGAGAACAATAAACCCGCTGCACGATGTGCAGCATATCGTGCTGCCAGCACCAGATGAGCTGATGTGTGCTGAAGGCTGCAGGAACCCAGCAGGTCCTTAACCTCATTACGTGGGATCTGCAGTCCCAGCTCACTCCTCTGCTCTAGCAATTAGGCTTTGTCCACAGAAAACCTCACAGGGAAACCCCATGCTCTCCCTGCAGCCCTCCATTGTTTTCCCCTTGTATCTTGATGGCTGGTCTCAACTGCACGTAACCTGCATGTGCTGCATGAGGAAGC